TTATATAAAAAGAAGTAAGATTATGGGGCTTGTGTGTATATGCCAACTACTTCTCATGCTGCCTTTATGCTTATTTTTTCTGGAGAAACAAAACCCAGTCTGAAGTAGCAGAATGTTTTGTAATCACTAGAAATTAATTATTAGATATATCAACACTCAGTCACTATTTAGAATGTATTAAAGAGTGAAATAATACTCAGTCTCATAACATTTTTTTACATTTGTGTACACATTTCATATACTAAATGTAACAATTATTATGAGACAGAGGTGGTGGTAGTGGTAATAACAATCTTCACAAGTGAAGAAGAGAAAAGAATACTCCAAAACATCATCAGCTAACAAGTTTAAATATATCAATCAATTTGTTCAGTGAAGTTAATATTTATAGAGAATGGGAAATGTAGTAGAGAAGAAAATGAACAAGATGCTAGGTATTTTGGTGAGAGCATAAAGGCTAGTGTCCTATTGCTTGATTAAATATTTGACTACTCAGGGATACATAATTTGAACATATGCAATAAAAATTCCTCAGATTAGTAACAGTGACATCAGCATACAAAAGTATGTAAATAAAAATGAAAAAAGTCAATTCACAAAACTAACAGGTCTCCCACTCTATAGATGACAATAAGTTTAAGTATTTTGTTTAAATAAATCTACAGTAAGAGAAATCCTGCATTGGGTCAGTGAAGAGGAGAGTGAATTATGATAATAAGATAAGTGTAATACCAAAAACAGGATAGTAGATAATCCCATGTAAAAAGAGCTTGGTCGTTTACTATTGATTTTCTTAAATGTAATATTCAAGAACTTACAATCTAAAATGTAATTTAATTTCAGTTTTAGCAATTTATATTTGAATATCCAATTAAATAAACTTTTACATGTTTTCTTACATGAAGTACATACTAAATTACCTATATGTTAGTCAATTTAATTGTCATTGCCAGTTATCTAATATTGCTTAATTAGACACAAATTCAGAAGAGGTTAATTATCAAAGCTAAATTAATCAATCAAATTACTCAAAAGTTAAATCGAGTAACTGACCCTATGACTGTAGGACTTTAAAAGAACTTTGAAGAGCTTGAGCAAGTCAAATATTCTTCTATTTATTATCAAGTTATCCATGAGTCATTGGAAATATACTCAGGTATTAAATAAAGCATTTCCTTCAATCACAAATTAATGCTGATAATATATATAACCATTTTTCATAATTATAATTCACTAAGCCAGTTTAGCAGCTATCTTATTCTAAATAATTGTACAAATGCAATTTGTTTAATTTAAAATCTTTGTTGTTTTAAAAATAGAATTTACCAAAAAATGTATGCTCTATATCCTTGGTGTGTTAATTAGGGAAAACAAAACAAAAAATAGAAAGCATTTTTAGAAAGCATTGAATTTTATATTATTATCATTATTTTGTGATTATCCCATGAACAATCACATTAACATAGAAAAATTCACAAATTAGGTTTAACAATTACTCTAAATACTTGCAATTTCTCTTATAAATAATCAATATAACATAGAATATTGCTCACAACCACCAACTTATCCAATGTACAACAATATTGTATTTTAGTTAACCTCTTATATATCATGCATACATATCAAAATAAAAATATACTACCATAAAAGTTTTATATAATGTCTAAAATGTGTATGCAAATGAAAAAACTTTACATGACAAAGGTAGTAGAAAATATCTCTGCACCAATGTAAAGTTTGTGAATGTTAATTTTTTTGGAAATGTATATGTAATATGTTTATGTAAAAAAGTCAATGTTACAATGTTGAAGGATATATATATATATATATATATATATATATATATATATATATATTTATGAGAGAGAGAGAGAGAGAGATTCAAATGTTTACATACAAATCAAACCACTACTTTATTCCTTGAAATGTAGAATATTGCTTGAAAATTATTCCCCTTTACAGGTTTATATTTATTATCTATTAATATACTTTTTTGCTAGTTTTTTTTATTAATTCTGTTTTATAAATTTAATTTATTTATTTATTACTTTGTAACCTAACCATGGTTAAAAAGAAAACTAAGGTTATTGAAATTATAGCATTATATAGTAAATTAAATTATTTACTGATAAAAGCAAGTCCCAATTCAAGAAACTTTATTTGCATGTGATGTTTTGATGCTTTGTTTCCAGAAACTGACATTGATTGTTACATGTAATTACAGTGACAGTTATAAATAAATTGCAGATATTAAAATATAACAAAAGACTAATTTTAATAATAAATGAAGAATATTACTGATAGAATTTGAAGATCATTAATATTTTTGAGTAGCTTGTGATTCTTAGGTTGAATGTATTTTAGAGAGAGGGGAGAAAGAAATTGTTTCCAGGATACCTGCTAATTACATTTCCAAGACAGCATTTGTAATGATAATTTGCTTGTAACTCAATTCTGTTCCTGCTGTACAAATATGCAGAGAAAATAGTAATATAAATAAATCATATGGATAAAACAATATTTTGTTCATTTGAATTTTATAGGAAAAAATTAATAATCTGAAGTTATAAAAGTAAGTGAGCTGTAAATTTACATAAGAATCACTCTTAAAGTTAATTTCAGCTCAATTCATACCAACTAATTTGTTATCTCAGGTTTAAACTGAAATTAATTAGCAACATTCTAATTTCTAACACCCACCAAGTTTCTAAAGAAAGTTTCAGAATTATCTCTAAAGTAAATAGTCTAGTCCAATGTATTTTAACAAAGATTTACTGATTTACAAGTTTTTTTTTTTTTAATATATACCACAAATTCTACAAGAGTTTTTTTTATAAGTAGCTGTTCAATAAGCAATTCAAATCCTAAAAGAAAAATATTCAATTTTGTAAGAAAAACACTTTTACAGTAAGTATTTTTGTTCAAATATCTGAACTCTACAATTGAGCTTTAAGATTGAGAGACCTTCAATACAAACAGTAGTAAGCAGGAAATTGTAATTAAAAAATAATCTATTAAAAATGATTGGGAGATCTATTGAAAGGTAGTAAAATTTATGTTGGTATAATTCCCAGATTATTCATTGTTTTTTTATGTCTTGGGCAATAATTCAGTTTTCAATATTTCAAACAAAGTTAGCTAAAAGCAAAAGAAAAAAAAAGTTTTGAAAAAATCTATGAAAAAATATACAACAAACCTGATAGATAAATTATTATCTAAAGTTTAAGATTTGTAAACTTGTAAGATTTTAAGCTTAGAAAAAAAAATTTACCAATAAAAACTTAATAATGTACAATTTTCTAAAATGCTCAGTTTTATGATTAGTTAGTTCTTGTATATTGATTACAGATTAAATATTAAAAAATAATTTAAAAGTTTAGCATATTGTGTTATTATGACATTTTGTGGTTATGTCTTATTGAAAACCAAGGGAAAATTAGAGTTTTCCAATCTTTTATTATAAACACCAAACTTTCTATACACAGTGTGTGGCTGACTCTTCTAACATTAAAAAAGTTCACAATTAAAAAGGTAATGCATGAATTGAATAAAAACATTTGGTCCAAATTAAAAAAATAAATTAAATTTAAAAATAGTTTTTTTTTATTCAATTACTACAAATATATAAGGAATCTGTTTGCATAATTAAGTTCCTAATTTAAATGCTAAGATGCCATTTTTAGGCTACATTTTTATAAACCGATCCATTGAAATATCATTATGTTTTTAAGATTGCTTTAATATATTATCAACAGTAAAAAAGTAAAAATTAGAAAGATGAATAATCAACAGTGAACATAGGCTGAAAAAAAAAAAAAAAAAAATAAAAAAATGGAATAAAAGGCAAGGTACTCTCATCATATACAGTGATTGTAGTTTGGGATTAAAAAAAAAAATCAAAATAGTTATAAAATTAGATACCTACATACCTTTTTAACTTTAAGAGTTGTCATTGCATTAACTAATACTCATTACTTATGCTACTTACATGCACTAGACTGACTAAATCAATAGTCTTATTTCTAAATGGAATGACTTTTATATTTATATGATTTTAGATTGAAAATAGGCCAAATGCAGATAGCATGCTAGTTAAACACGATTACATGGAGTAAGACTAATTTAAGCTTTTGTGAATGTAATTTTTTTTTTAATGGGTCATCAAAACACTATATGAAAACTATTTTTGTATCTAAATATTGAGGTGGTTTGGTTAGTTTATTGTATTATTTTTCAAATAAAATAGAAATAAAGGAAAGAGTGTTTAAATAATGTAGTTTAAAATTTAGACTGTTACCTCAATATGGATTTTATTGCAGAATTTAAAACATGCATTCAAAACGACAATGTATCAGATAAAAAAAATCAGTGAGAAATTTAATTTAAACATCTTTAAGATTCAATTATTTGAAAGCAATCTTTAAGAAACCTTTATGGAATATCATTTCCTTTGAAATATCATTCAAGCAATGATTTCTAAATGTTTTGATTAAAAAAACCAAGCATCAATACAAAATACACTTTCTAAAATAGTAAACTAAAGTAAATAAATTAACTGTATGTTTTATATTCCTATTTTCTTGTAAGAATTTTTTTTTTATTAATAATACCTTATACTCTAACAGGAAATCCTATTTATAAAGATTCCAAGCTCCACAACGTATTCTGAATTTTCAAAGTTCACAATTTTATCTATTTAGTACATTCTGTATACTTTTATAACAATAAAAATGTATCTGCTTTTATGTAACTCTAAAAAAAAAAAAATATTACTTCAGTGATCTGTTGCAATTAAATTTTATTATTAAACAAATAATTTAAATAAATCAATTGCAAAAATAGATATATGAAAAAGTAACATCAACTCTAAAAATAAACTTCTTGCATTAAACTAAGTAAATGTGCAGAGAAATTCAGAAACAGCAACAAACATTTATTTCTGTAGAATGTTGTACTGGCACTGGTAACCTAGTTTTATGCATCTGTTAGGATCAAATGAAATGCTGTTTACTCCCTGCTCTCTATCCTGTCATCTACGGAACACTGAGGTTAGATCACTTACTTTCAAAGCCAATGGAATGTACAAGATCTTGATAGTGGATTAAGTAAATAAAGTCTTGACATTTGGACAAACACAATTAAATCAAATATTCAATATGAATAGATATATACGGAAAAACAGCTATAAAAAGAAATTGGTTTAGGTATTTGGAATTGAGGAAGTGTCTTCAAGGAAAATGTAAACAAAATAATTAGTAGTATTGATATTTCAAATAGAAATATGCATAAGTTAGCCTTAATTTTTATAAACAAAACATCGAAGTATAAAACTATGGTTTCAATATTATAAAGTGCAAGAAAAATTTATTTCCAAAATAAACTTAAAAAAAAAAATATATCCATGTAATAAAAACCTAAAGTAGAGTGTATGTAAACTTCTAAGAAATAAAATTAATTCTTCAAATAGGATATATATTTTGGAGATTCTTTTTATAAGTTTAAAGAGTTTCTAATGAGGTTTAAATAATCAAGTGCAAGGTACAATATCAGCACATGGATTATCAATTTTAGTCTTTTAAAGAAACTAACTTGTATGTATATTACTTACACATGAACAGGATTACACTGTATTAAATATTTTTAACAAGGCAGATTTGTAATCAAATTTGGGGAATTATTTTGAGTTGATATAGTTTCTTCTTAATGAAAGTTTTTTTATATATCACTTATTATAAAAAAGTACATTTATTTATTCACTGTTTAGCAAACAACATGCATTTCAAAGTGGAAGATGCACCAAGAGAAAGATTTCTGGATATTACAGTTGTGTCACAACTGTAAAAAGACTGGACCATAATGCAGTGTGAATCCATCCCACCTCATTTAAATCAACATGGAGATAGCAGCAATGCAAGGGAAATTAAACTTCTTGCTGATTCTTGAAACATTGTCAAGCACAGCAGAATACTATGGAACAACAACAACACTGCCACCATACAAAAGTAGCAGGAGCAGTCCAAGATGAATAGCTCCGCCCACCTTGCTGACACACACAAAAAAATCTGGCTGCCTTTTCTTTCTTTGCAATAATTTTTCATTTCTTTTTTTTTTTTTATCTAGCCATAAATGAACTGCCCATCAGAAAAGTTTCAGAAGAATTGTGAAGGTTAGCAAAATAGTCTCATGACTAAAAAAATATTAAGAAAAGAGAGAAATAAAAGGCATACTAATCTATATATACAGGACTAAAACAATGTCATCAGTTTATAACCTATATCAAATTTTTCATCTTCTATTAAAACAATTACAATGTATAGTTTCCCTATTTGGAAGTTTCAAATTTTATTGCTTCATTTAAAAGACAGGAAACATACAATATCAGATGTTCTTTAAATTAATATGAATGAGACATTATTGTAATATTTTTTCTAAGGACACCCAATATATTGCTCTTTTTTAAAAAGTAGGGTGAGTACATAGAAAACTGTTGCTCTTTTTTCTTTTAGATAAAATGTGCCGAAAACTTCTGCACACATGGCTAAGTTCCCTGCTAGTTTTTCAAAAAAGGAAGAAAAAAAAGTAATATTTTAATGGTTAGTACTAAATGTTTTGACTCAGTTAGTTGAACATTATAAAACATAGAAGATAATTACCTTTAATTAGTGAGTGAAAGTAACTATTTCCAGGTATTTTTCATCAAGAAAAAAGCAATCCAAGATATGAATATCTACAAATAAACTGGTATTTATCTTAATTATTGTCAACTAATACAAATAGAATATCAACTTAGAAGATTTTTGGGACTAAAATGGACACAAAGTTCTTCAAAAGAGCAATTTGTTTCTGTGGCATAGATTAAAACTATTGTCACATAGACTATAAAATAGGATAATTTTATTAAAGAAGTTTTACATAAAATTCTTATGTATTTGAAAGAAACAGGTTTTCATACATAGTGGGATGGAGTAACTGAGTTGCTGATGCTGGATGAACATTTCTTCAGAACTGAATTTTGTTTTTCAAATATCAGCCTGTTCTTAGTTCTCTGTAATTTCTACTTAAATAATACTTGTAGACTCATATTTTGTAAATGTTCACAGTAGTTTTATTTAAACTTATTGACACAGTAGGTTTATTTAAACTTATTGTAGACTGATTATTCATTTTTCAATTTCAACTGAATGAAGTTCAAATTGTGACAATGCCAGTGACCAGACAAATATCAACATGTCTAATGGTGACACAGTACAGATGAATTTGGATTCATTTCTTTTCAAACAACAAGAGTAGGCAAGAAGAATTTGAAACCATTTTAATAGTTCCATTTCCCAATGTTGTATCTGTGAATTCATATTTCATATCCACTACTCTTGTTATATGTAGTCACATTAGTAGTAAGCTTATATCTTATGAATGCAGTTGATACTTAAATGAAAGTAAAGGCAATGTTGAACTACTCAGTTTTATGGCAAACATACTGTTCCATCCTGGGGGGGTCAAGCATGGTGGAATCTCTTGAAAACTGTACTCCACCTGCACAGGTGCTTAATATTCTTTTTAACTCATTGATTTCAGTCATTTCATGAGTACAGTAGTTTAGCCAATGACATTAGCATAAAATGACAATCATCAAGAAATAAAAATTTCCACATATGTTATATGTAGCTTAAAAAAAACTGTTAGAGTAGTAATAGTAGTAGTACATAAGACAATGGCATTTTTAAGATGAAATTTCTATGTATAGAAACTTATACATTTATAAATCTATTTTCACAATATTTTTTTTTTTTTTTTTTTTTAATTAATCACTAATAGCTGTACGAAGTATGAAAACTTTAAAGAAATTACAAAATGGTTCTTATGGGATGCACCAACCAATAGATTAAAAAAAAAAACAACAAGCAAGTGTCATTTATTTTTAGTTTAATATCAATATAATGAAAGTAAGTTTATGAGAACAACAAAGTAAAAGTAGTCCTCAATTGTTTTAGTTTTTAAATATTTAGTTAAGAAGATGACAAATCTGTGTTTGAGTGAGTAGCCCATTAACAAATACAACAATTAGAAAAGTAAAGTATTTATGCTTGAATAAATAAATTAATAAAAAATTCAGAACAAGTTTCATCGCAAAGAAAAAAGAAGAATAGAAGCCTCTGATCACTGATGTATTAGAAGCATTATTCTTGATAGCAAGTAAAATCATAGTGTCAAGAAATTTGCAGGAAATAATGTAAGATATAAAAATATTGTCCATTGGAATTAATTGATTATAATCAACTCTCTTACAGGTGCTATGGAAACAAGATGATTCTACAAAATCCCAAATAAAGAAATTGTATAGAATAGTTTTTCTCATGCTGAACAAAAGTATCTGATGAAGGGTTTGGGTTATCTAGGATTAAAAATAATTAGTACAATGTCTGAGTAACCAAGTAAAAACATGAATTGTAGAAAATAAATGAATTTCAATTGATAATTCATCTGGAATTGGTAGGATGGTGTAAGACATTCTTCTTACCCATTTATTGAAAAGCATGCCATCTTATGATTTGTTTAAAACGAAGCTAAAGTAACAGAACATTTGTCATCAGACTTTTGCATTTTTTTTGTTGCATGGTACCAGTGAAAAGGAGCACTGTTAATTCACAAGAGTAGAGAATACAAATGTTACAGTTTACCTTTTCCTGAAGAACTGACCACGAAATCTACAGTTAACATCAAAGACTAATCCACCAACTCTAAGTTTTAATCAACTTCTAGCAACAATTAAATGTCACTGTCAACAATAGTTAATTCACAAAAACTTAACTGACTTTCACTAAAGGGGCTGAAAAAAACTGTTTAATTAAAAGTTTTCCATGAGTTTTCCTATAGTGATATTCAGTTTCATTGAGTGAAGTTTTGTTATTCTTGTTCTTGTATATTTTACCTGATGTACAGTAATAATGTTTGAATTAAGCTGATTTAATACAGCCCATTACACAATGTACATCATTCAAACAAAACACAGTTTGATCACCTTGTTGAAAATACCATTGGTTTCATTTAGATTAAAGTTAAGAACTTCTTATAGCTTATTTTTTTTACCGATATTAAATTGATTAGATCATAACAATCTAACAAGTGCAACAGCTTATAAAAATCAAAACAATTTTGAATGTCATACAATTAAGTACGACTTTGTCCTTTCATGTATAACACATCCTTTTAGAAAGAGAATTAAAAAATACTACTGACAAAAAAAATAAAAAAATTATACATTTCTTTACTGAAAAAAATCTTTCATAAATTTTCCTGAATAAAAAAAAAAAAAAAAAGAAGTTTTTCAACATGTAATGAGACATTATTAGAGCAATATATAATGCTAGAATCAATTTAATTAAATAAAAATGTTAATTCTTGTGTTGGTGTTGAATAAATGTTGAAGAAAAAAATTATTACAATAGAGCTCAATCAAATCTGAATCAATGAAAATAGGATATACAATTACTTAGAGATAACTATATATTATAAATAATTATAACACGTTAGTTAGTATTTATAATGAAATTCAATCATTCATAAGTATCCTGACTTTTTGGCTGAAGATTAATTATCAGAGAACTTTATTTTGTATTAAACAATTCAAAAATACAAGCACTTTAATTAGGAAAGTATATTCTATCATCCTCTTTTAAAGAATACCAGATAATTATTATATTATGTTATACAAACAGAAAACAAATTGTTGATAAAGAATAAGGTAAAATAAAATTTCGAATACATATGTATGTGGATGGGTAAGATAGTGAATAGGATTTTTAAACAATATTCGATTTATCTCCCCTGTTGATATATCCGCCCATAACAAGCCCTATGTAGCCCGCAGATAAACACCAGATAATTATGACAAGCTTATTAAATTGAAATGAAAAATGAAAGTTAAAGAAATAACAGCATAATAAAAAAAAATAAGAATTTGTTACATTGTTAAAATGTATCATATGAGCATTTCCTCTTTAACATTTTCAGTTTCACATTGAAATACCTTCTGCTAAAAAAGTAAGAAAATCTGAAATTATAGTGCAATAATTGTGCATTTTTAAACATTATGCTTTAAATTGCCACCTTTTGAATAAAAATGTAACGAATTTATAAAATCAATTAAAAGTAAAGATAAAGAATGCAACAACTATAAATATAGTAAATAGTTAGTGTAAAAAAAGTAGTAGTTAACTGTTAAGAAATAATGTCATATTTCTATTTTTATTGATAGCTCGTCTTTAAAGAATTTTTTTTTTAACGGAAACGTATTTTTGTAATGAAGATAAGTTGTATGAATAAATAACTCAACAATACAATAACAAATAATTCACTACTTTTTTAAAAATTTTAACATAGGTATGTAATACAAAAAAGTGATGAGCATAACAAACCAGAACTAGTGGCAACAAAAATAACGCATTGTCAGGTGAAAATGTAAAATGCAGTATACAAAAAAGCCTAAAACATAGACTGAGAGAGAGAGAGAGAGCAAGAATATGCGCACTCGTTATGACTGATAAAAAACTTGCAAAGTGACAGACATGTCATAAAATGATAGAAATTTAATTCCACTAGTTGCCTCCCTTAGATTACATAACCGGCTAATGGGTAAGGTTTACACTAGATAAATGGTTGTACTCACACTAATCAATCTATCCATACACAAGAAGGAAGAGACATCAATAGTGAGCATCAAATTAGACTCACAAGTAGTCAGCACATAATTTTCAAAATGTGAATTCATGATGATGTCTTTAAAGTGAAGCATGCTACTGTCTGAACAAATACTTGTTTTGAGCAAGTCTGTGTGGACGCGCATGCAATATCAAGTGCACAAGTACCAAGTAACTTCAAGGAGGAAATGCTCATGGATAATATCAAGGACACAACATAAGAATGGGGTGTATATTGATTAGCTGAGAGAAAAGATATATATATATATATATATATATATATATATATATATATATATATATATAACATTATCTGGGGATGAATAGGCTATCTATATAAATTTGTTGTACACTAACTCCTGAAGGTTGTCTTGAGGAAATTTTTCATTTGCAGAAACTAAATTATTGAAAAGCTGTGACTTAAAATTCACTTTTTGTAGTAGGCATAAAAAGTCTGCAATTTGACTGATCAAACCTCAGATTTTTTGTGGGGGCGAGCCGAGAACTTTTCAGCAACTTTGTGTTATTCAAGGGTTATGACCTTAAATGGTCTACCTCTTAATATAACAACAAATAAGCAAAAATTAAAAAGTATGAGAGATAAGAAGATGGTTTGTAGGTTTGGGTCAGAGTTCATTGAAGTAAGTTTAAAGAATAAAGATGATTAGATTATTACTACACACATTGAAAATAAATTTCATAAAAAGAATGAATAAAAATACCGCATGTTTTCATAAAACAACTACTAGAACTAGATAAGTAAAATGACAAGCTAATTTTATGTTTTTAATGTGAATAATTTCTTTTTTCATCAGGGTCGAAATCTGAATTTCTCAAAGCATGTTCTGGAATAAATGCTCATATTGATCTGGGTCAAATGCAGCATGGTGCCATTGTGTTTTTGTATCTAGGGCAAACACAGTTCCTAGAAATTGATTAGAGTCGATCAGATAGAGTTAACGTAAAAAATGCCTCCATAAATTTCTATAGTAAAGAAAGAGCTATCATCATTTTCAATTTTCATTCTATAGATACAAATAGTATTTTAATAAAATCTTACTGGTAAATTTCCGCTCAATGTATTTTACAATACATCCATAACCAACATTTTGCCATGAATTCGAGGAAATTCAGAGTATCTGTGAATTGATTTGATGTTTTTTTTTGTAGGTCAAGAAAAATGTTCAATAATATTTCACAATAAAAATATAGATTATAAAAATAAAAATGTTAAAACATCAAATTAATAGTTCAAACATAAATCTTTAAAAAAAAAACAAAACAATCACTCCAGTAGAGAGCAAGTAAAGTAATAAAAATTAAAAAAAAAATTGTCATAAAAAACAATAAAGTAATGATTACTTTATTGTTTTTTATGACAATTATTATAATACACTTAAAAGTTACACTATTCTTGATTATTTAAAAATAAAATAAACGTTTCGGTTTACTTTGTAATAAATCATAATTATTATTACTGCATCTTTCAGTATTAACTTTTCGGTTGTTAAAAGTCAACAAAAATAAAAAATGATTTCCCCCACCCTGTTTCAAATGTCAACTCAACACATGTGTAAGAATGGGGGTTAAAAAATAAGAAGAGACAGGTGAAAAAAATTATTTTTATTTATTTTTGGTGTGTGTTGTTGGGTATACAATTTGTTATTGTAGGTGTGTCCTGATCTATCTTTCACAGCTTTGGAGAATTATTAACTCATGATTCGACTGATTGGAATGTTTTGTATATACAATTGAATTTGAATATTTACTTACAATAATAATTACACTCCTGTCTTCTTCCCTTCTTTCTCTTTCAGAGAGAAAAAATCTGGAAGTTTCGAATTGATCCAGATTTTTTAATATGGACAAGATGAAAAAATATCAATCAACTCGTTCAATTTTTGTTTGTGTAAGTAAAAAAAATATATATAAAAAAATCAAGATGACACGATATCTAAAAATATTTATTTACTGGTTTCTTATTTCATCACTAACAATTTTTTTGTTCTTTTTTTTTTTATACCTAAAAAAAAAAAAAAAAAAAAAAAAAGGGTTCTATTTTTAAGTTCTAAGCTCGTAATAAAATTTTCAGACTTATTTTTTTAAGTTTATCATGAAAATAAGACAAGCAACAGGCTTCAATTCAAAGAAATGAAACTTAAATGATTTGAACAGTAAAAAAACAAATTAAAAAGAAAAGTGGGTATCAAAACTAAAAATTCCAGTAATAATTAAAAAACTAAAAATAGTATTTTAGCTTGTAACAAAACAGGAAGGAAAATAATTAAATAAAAAATGTTTTTGTTTGATGAGAATCACGAATTTTCTGACAGTTAAAAAAAAGTATTTTAAAATTTTTTTTTTTCGTAACCAGGAAAAGAAACGCAAGTTGTGAATTTCTTTTTTATGATTTATAAATGAAAACTCACCAAAAATAATTAAAACAGGTAAAAAAACAGAAAGTAACATGATTTTCTTGTTTTTCTTTTAATAAACACAAAAATAGGAGTTCTTTCCACAGTGACATCACTTTCTCTAAGTTATCAAATCTTTTTTTTTTTAATTTCATGCAAATTAATTTTTTAAAAAATTAAAGTTAAATTTTCCTGTTTTAAGCAAAAATATATACAAATACGCAATAAATAAATAAAGAGGAAAACTAAAACAATAATAAATAAAATTTCCGACATTTCAGGAAGAAAAAAAAAAAAACAACCACGCCGAGATTATTATTTTTTTTTTTTGTTTAGTTTTTAATGAAGCAATGATAACAAACTGCTTACATTTTACTCACAGCAATATTATTTTTTTTTTAGTCTTGTCGACAAGTGTTTTTTTTGGGGAAAAGGGTTATGTCATAGACATATTTAGCGACACATGAATAGAGAGAGAGGGAATGCTGACTGACTTTCCATGTCGCTCGTAATAAATAAAACAGCAGTACAACTAGTAAATGTTTGTACAAGTAGAGAGAAAGAAAGACAAACAAAAAGATCTCGTTTCTTTTTCTCCACCTTTTTTTTTAAGCATTGCACAGACACATTCATGCCGCACACATCTATAATAAAGTCAGCAATACGATTTAGACATGCACAGAAGTATGATAAATGTTTTAAACAAGAGAATATCTTCGTTAATATTATTATTATTTTTTTTCTTCTCTAGAGTGATTGTTGGTCAGTGGTTTGGTGTGCAAGAACGAAGAACAAGGTTGGGTCATTGAATTGTGCCATTATTGTGGGTAGTAAGAACAGAAAGTGTAGTTAGGTGGCAAGTATTTAATTAGGTTGAAAAGCGTAGATAGGCATGTTAATACTCGTTCAGACCAACCACTTTTACTTTACTTATGACAAAAAAGAAAAGAAAAAAAGAGGTATGTTTCATGTGCTATTATAAAAAAAAATCACCAACACCACAAGTCGTTTTCAGGGGAGAAACAAACAAAAGGCAAAAACGTCAGTATGGGGGCGAGATAGATTGCTTTTTAGGGAGAGAAATCATGCACACTACAAAACGGATTTACAGGAGAAACAAACAAAAAAAAAATACAGAGACGCAATTATTAGTTTCGTAGGAAGGATATTTTTATGATGAAAGTATCACATGGGTGAATGTTAGTCTAAAAAAAAAATAATGAAATTAAGAAGGATGTAGATATGTAAAACCATCATGTTAATGTATCGACGTCAGCAATCGCTAAACACACACACGCACACCTTTTAATTATATATATATAATATATATATATATATATATATATATATGCAAGTAAGCCAACAGTGTGAGTAGGAACTACGTTACAGGCATTGACTTATTACACAACGCAAGATGTTTTATTATGATGATGATGAAGGTATGCTTCCTTCATGTTGCTCACTATCAAAATAAACTCCCAACGTAACGTACATTTTTGCGAGTAAAGGGCTTCTTCATCGTCCACCATATCACAGACAATGCAACATGAAACTATAATGATATTTTATCGTCGCTATACATTGACAATAGTACTAACTAGGTCAAGAAACTAAATAGTAAGGTCATTTGGTGTAAGCTAGGCAGGGGCCTGTTTTTAATGTTTGTTCTTGCTTTCCTACTGTAAGTAGTACTATGATATGAGGATATGTGTGTGTGTGTATACCATAGTCTCGTTTACTAACATGGGGGTTTGAGAAGGAGTGTACAGGTCTGAAAAAGGAAGTGGTCACTACTTACAGCTGGTGTCCGCGGGTGCCTTGGCCTTTGTTGGTGGAGTGGACACGGTGGACACTACCGAACGAGCCGGCGATCAGCTGGTATACCAGTCCTCCCCTTCTTCCTCTAGCAGACCTCTAGCTTCTCCATCATCCTACTCAAGGGTCTACGTGACGGTGAAGAGTGCGTCAAGGGACGCAATTCAAATTGACACGCAAAACTTAGGGATCTCCGGTAGAGCGACGACGGGGTTCGGGCCACAGCCAGGGCACCAACCTCCGTCGTCGCTCAGCAAACCAATACGGAATAATAATTGGCGTTTTTTTATTCTCTTTCTCCCCTTTTCACCACCCACTACCATCTGTCTACAAGTAAATTGATATATGTGCATCTACTATTTTTTTTACTCCTGAAATTTTTTGCAATACCAACATTTCGTTTTTTCCGTTTACCATGTTTATTGATTATTTTAGTCTGCAGGAAATGAAAAAAAAAATAGTGAAACTATTAACAGTAAATTGTATCGGCCAGTAAACAAATCTATTATCAAATTTAATGTTTTTAGTATCTTATAGTAATTTTTATTTTGTTAAAGCGTGAACAAAACGTATGTCCATAACAGGTGGTTTTATAAATAATAGCGGCATTTTGTGCATCATCAAAAGGCATGTGAATGTTGTAATACAAGGGAGAGAAATAGAAAATTCTAAAACTGAGAAAATGAAATAATAAACAAAAAATAAAAGTAACTCTCAGATATATCATCAAAATTACAAATTAAAACAAACAAGTTGTTAAAATTAAAAAAAAAATGTGAGAAAAAGTAAAATTCAAGATCAAAGCAGAAACAGTGAAGCAGAACAAAATAAAATAGTTTGTAATTGTGGATTTGAAAATTCACAGCTTTTCAACATATGTAAATAAAAAGTCATAATTTTTTAAAATTAGTACATGTAAAAGAAAATATATACTTAGAAAATTATATAATGAAATTTAAGCCCTTTATAAAACTAAAGTATTAATTTATTTTTGTCCAAGTTAATATTCTGGGTTAAATGATTTATAGTAATTTTAAACAGTAAACTTTATGGTATTAACACTTCTATGTTGAAATAAAATTTATAGTTGTCGTTAGATATAAAATGTAGGAATAAAATTAAAAAAATACAAAGTTTAATTTTATGAAGTTATTTTATTTCTTTTTAATAACAACAGAAGTAACTTAGTAACGCATTTTTAGTTGATATGATTATGAAAGAATAAGTTATTTTAAAGTAAATATGAAATCTAATTGATTAAGTTTCCAGAAAAATCTAAATATAATGATAAATAAAAGTGACCATCATCCATTCTATCAAGGCTAAAATTTTTTATAGTATCACAATAAATATGTTATAAAAAAAATTCTTCATACTGCTTTAAAGTAGAAAATTTGAAATTAGAAAATTAACAGGTATTTTAAACTAGTTCAAAAAGTTGATCATAGTTGTAATCAAGTGTTCCTGAAAGTGACTAAAAATCTTTCGAATTTTTTAGTCATTTATAGAAAAGACAAATATCCTAACTTGTAATGTCAATTTAGCATTACTAAAAGAAAACAAATTATTTTTATATTTTAAAAAAAATAATAAAGAAAATCATTTTACTGTAGTGAAATTATTGCACAATAATACTTTTAAAAAGTAATCTTTTGAAAACTTCAGAGCTATAAAACACTTCATTTGTATGAAGTTAATTTTTTATCAAAAGCTTGTATTGGCATATGTATAGCAATTTGTTTATATGTCATTTTTATAGATACAATTTATTTAAGTAAATGTTCTGTTTTTAATTAAATAGTATTAATTACATTTACCAGCTTGAATGTTTGAGAAATTTTGTAGAAAATATACATTCTCTGACAGGAATTGAATTCTCTGTATTCCTTTTACTGTCAGGGAATGAATATATTCTATGAAATTTCTTGAACATTCAGGCCAGTAAATGTAATTAATACTATTTAATTAAAAACAGAGCATTTACTTAAATAAATTGTATCTATAAAAATAACATACAAACAGAAAATATATTAAATAATTGTCAGATTTAATTCATTTTATATATATATATATATATATATATATATATATATATATATATTTTTATATTAAATTTAAAAAGATAGTTTTTTTTTAAGAACACAGTATGTCTTTTTATAATTGCTTTTAGATTTTGGTATTTATTTTTTTTAAAGATTGAATTTCATGAAAACTTATAAAAGAAAGTAAAATTTAATGTGCCTTTATATAAATTTATAAAACAATCCTTTTGGATAAATAAGTTATTTTATATTTGATGATAAAATATATTACCATGTACACACTAATTTAAAAATAAATAAGCTGAATGAATATAACATAATAATAGTGAAAGTAAACAGATTTGCTTTGAATTTAATTTCAGAAAGCAATTAAAAATAGGAATTTATAATTTTCCAAGAAACATTTAAATAAGAGAAAACATAAAAATATTGAATTTAAAGGATCTTATGCTCAGTTTGTTATAAATTTTATATGTAATATTTGTAAAATTTATATGTAATATTTGTTATCTTCTGTTGTGTTAATTCCTGTTCTTTTATTGTTGCCTCTTTTTAATAATATTTTTTTTTCTCATATTTTTTCACACTCATTAATTCTTTGCTTTACTGCCTTGCTTGCGGTGAAAGGATTAAAAAAAACAAAAACAAAGATGGATTATGTAATTTACTTTATTTATACTATTTAATATTTTTATATACTTATTACTTTAACTATGACTTGCATTTCTTGTACAGACTTTTAAAAAGCTTAGCTTTTGATAAAAATTCACAAGAGATGACTGATCTCATAATTCATGGATTATGGTACTACCTTGTTTAATCACTATTTCCATATGTAGTGAAGTTTGTTAGCAAAGGGCCATCACTGAAATAATCATAATACTAACAGCTGTGCATTGTCATTTTTCTTGAAAGTATTTTTAATGGTTTCCATATTGAAGAGCTATTTATCTTATTCTTGAATGAAATGGTTTTTGTTAAACTTGAGGAATGGAAAAATTTAAAAAAACAAGCAAACAAAAAAATAGTATTTTTGAATTGAGCAGATTTGTGATTCCTGAATTAAAAAAACAAAATACATAGCATATATTTCATAAAACAAAACCACATTGTTTACATATACTTACTTGATGCTTTTAATATGAAATAATTATATTGTGCAAAAAATGCGAAGAATGTCTTCAGACATCTAATCTAAATGATCACATGATCCCAGATGAAGTTTTAAAGATTAGTCACAGATCATGGTTTCTAAGTTTTGATTTTATGTGAAGCTTTTGACCATCCACACCTGCCTTATCAAGTAATAGAAACCAGATGTTTCAGGGGTAATTCATCATGTCATGCTTTTATTAAAACTTTTCAAGGTCGGTGAGATCTTCAGCTTATAGAGAGAAACAGAAAAATCCAAATTGAGGATGAAATGGTTTGCATATTTATTACCTCCTTTTGTATTTGTATACTTTACAGGGTCAGTGAAAGGTCATGTGTCTCTTTTGAGGGGTATGGATTTTACATCAAGTAGAGGCTTAACAGGTATTTTGATAACTAGGATTGATCTTAAATATAAACATTCACAGGGTTTGCAATATAAATCTGAATGGGCAACATTTAATTTCTTCTTTTTTTTTTTTTTTTTTGTATAATTTTATTGGTGTTAAATTTATATATTTCCTTGGGGTAGGTTGAATGCTGTTTCCTTCATGTATTTCTTTCTGTTAATCTTTCTGGTGAGTATAGTTTGTTTACTCCATGAAATGAAAAGCTTAAAGGATATTATTCTCCAAGTACAGTGAACTTTTCTTGTTGGAGGATTGCCTAGTGTCATATTGATTCAAAATCTAAAGTAAGATACATTTCTTCAGATATACTTTTGATAAATATTTTCTCACACACAGGACAATGATATATAAATTTTATATATCAAGAAAACAATTTTTTCCACAGAAACTAAAGATAAAGTGGAAAAAAGTTTTTTTGAAATGTCTGATGCGTTTTCTTCTTGAGGACTTCATTGGACTAAGTTTATGTTTACATTGATATGAGTAAATGTGCACAAATGAGAGATGCTGGAAATTTTAAATTTAAAAATAATTTTTTTTAGTATGTGTTTTGGCTATATAAGCTAGCTGATTTCATTTAAATTCTTTTTCTTTTTGTTTATGTTTCCATCACTTTTCTTATGAAATTAACCCACACTGGAATAACAGAAAATCTGTCAAGAATGTTGAAATGTTGTAAGAACCTGAATGCAATTAAAGCACTTTCTAAATATTTTCATCTTAGTAAATTGTTTTCTCTTTTAATTAGAGTAGCCTTTCTTAAATCAAAATTTTGGTCAGTCTTATTACAGTGAGCAATACATATATATATTTTTTAATAATAATATTTTTTAATAATAATATTTTTTAATAATAATATTTTTTTAATAATAATATTTTTAATAATAATATTTTTTTAATAATAATATTTTTAATAATAATATTTTTTTAATAATAATATTTCTTAATAATAATATTTTTTTTAATAATAATAATACTTTTTTAATAATAATAATAAAACTGAGAAATGCATGAAAATTATAAGAATTTTAAGTGTTTTTGAATTTCTGCCAAAAAGTGCTCAATAGATAATTAGAGCCATAATATTCAATAAATTAAAAAAAAAGTTTAAGTGATTTATCTGGTTAGTTGACTGCAGAGTTTTTTCATCAAAATGCTCATCAGGACCAGATATTTGATAACTCTATTGAACATATCAGATTTCATATTTATACTCTTTCTGAGCTAACAAACACTAATTCTAAATTTCAAATTTGAAATTCTTAACATGCTAGAGTTATTGCAAATTTCTAAGTATCATGTAACTAATATTCAAACTTACCAATTATTAATATTTTATTTTTAGATTAAGTTTATTTTTATATTTTAATATAAAATTTATCTATTAAATCTTTAGAAATGGCTTTGTTTACACTTCAGATATGAAAGTGAGCAGTATGGGCTTTTTTTTAGATTATGAACGATTTATATAAATTCCTTTATATAAAAAATAATACAAACTTACTGGGCTGTGACACTATGTCTGAGTGGTCTAAAGAACACTGGATCAGATGTTTGGTTTCTACTACAAACAGGGATGCAGGTTCAAGACTTGCTGAAGAACACATTTTCTTTATTGAGTTTTCTTGAGTGCACAGGCCAATAGATGTAATATATATATAGTTTAAAAAAATAGGATGTCTGCTCAAACACAGGTATCCCTTAAAAAATGTTGAAATGAAAATAACTCCATTAAATCTTTAGAAATATATATATATATATATATATATATTTTAATTTTATATTCTTCAAATAACAAAATGCAATTCATTTTATATTTTTTTCTTGTCATTTTGTTTATTAATATTGTCTTTGCAGATACATTTATATCTTAATTTTACACACACACACACACACACACACACACACATATAAATTACAAATAAATAAAAATTAAAAAAAAAATATCTGAATAGAACAGATGGGGTATTATTAAATTTTTTATTTATTTGTTATTTATTTTATAATCCATATTTTTTTAAATACATGAGCTTTATTTTTGGATCAAATTTAATATTTTAATATTAATAAGATTCAAAAAGGATTCTTAACAAACATAATTTTAAACCTATATATATATATATATATATATATATATATATATATATGAAGAAATTTAGTTTTAAAGTGTGCTATATATATGGGACAAAGTGCTTCAATATCAGAGATATTTTATATGTAAATAAAAAATTTTTGAACATTGAAGTCAAAACTCCACAAAACAACAGGCTGTTTCAATGCTAGATGTTGGCCACCCAATGGTTGTATCTAGCATTAAAATACTGTTGCAATTTGATGCTTCAACTTCAATGTTCACTATTATATATTATATATATATATATATATATATATATATATATATATATATATATATATATTTAGAGGTTTTTTTAAAAGTTCTCAATAAAAAAAAAAATTAAAAAATCAAGACCAAATGTCAGTCATATTTTGAAAGAACTTTTTGGTTGAATCAAGAACATTGTAAAATCTATATATATATATATATATATATATATATATATATATATATATATATATATATATATATATATATATATATATATCCAAGTATATAATTGGTATATATGGAATGAATTCCAATAACCAACAATTACTATTTTTAAAAGAGTGCTAATACAAAGTATATATATATAATTATTTTTATAAAAAAATTTATAACATAAGTATGTTATAAAATCACTACAAAAATAGCCATTTTGTTTCAACACACTCTGTGTCTTATCAAGTGATGATGTTGAAAATAAAATAAATGGTTTTAAAAGTTTCAGATTAATTAACGATCCTACACTAGGGGGAAACATTGTTACAAAAGCTAGAATAACCAATCAAAAAACCAAGTATAGAAAGATTCAAAAGCTTGACAACGAAATCATGTTATAATAGCTATTCAGATCTTTAAAATACGTGTAATATTAAAAATAATTTATTCTAACCAATAATTATAAAATTATATGATAAAATTTAATATTAAAATTAAAAACTGGCAATTTTAAAATCCAAATTTAATCACTATTAAGTTTAAAAACTACAAAATTATTGAGAAAAAAAAAAATATATATTTTATTTATTCAATTCATTTCTTCATTGAAATTACGTTCGACAAGACAAAGATATACAATATATCCGGTCATTTGACAATACATGTATATATATTTTTTTTTTTTTTTTTTAAAGTTTATTTTAAAGTTTGTGAATGGGTCTTAAACTCATGCAAAAACAACAAAAACACAATCAGATTATAATACATAAGCACCCAGACATAATTAGATATACACATACACACACACACACACACACACACACAAAAAAAAAAAAAAAAAAAAAAGGACGAGACAGAAACATCTCTACAGCCCTTTATGAAAAAAGGAGACGGGGAAACCAACACCTATACACACACACAGTTAAATGTGAATACACTCTACATACACATAGACACTGATAGATACACGTACACACATCCACAGACAATGACATAGACAATCAGATACCACAACCAATAAATATTTCAGACTTAAAGTATCATTAAATAAATGCTAACCACTTATTAAATATACAAAGATAAAAATGGTTAAAAATAATATTTAATATATTAAAACGAAAATTCCAAAACCATAAATATCAATAAAAATATATATTTTAATCATATAAGTTGATAATAGTTTCATTATATATTAGGCAAAGAAATACAGGATAAAGAAACCCACATATACATATATATATACGCGGCAGCAAACACAAATTAACACACATAAACATACACTCATACATACATATACATACAGAAATACATACAAATAAATATATAAACATAAACATCTACGCACATATACATATCTATGATAACAAGTACACATACACACACATATACATATAAACATAAATACACACATATATACACACATTTTTATGCACACATATTCACATATATAAAACAGTCATGACATACCAAAGTTTCCATACCCACACATACACACAAACAAACTCATACATAATAGGTGCCAACACACACATATACATCCACAAACATACATAAATATATATACACACATACATACATACATACATATCTACAAATAAACATATATATAAATATATCTATCTACAATAACAACTACCAATACATACATGCATACATAAAAATACAACACTCAACCAAATACATATATAAACGTACTAACATATAGATACATAAATATACATTCAAATATATATACACACACACACATGAAATAATGATATATATTTCTGTATATCAAGAAAAAATATTTGGGAAAAATGTAGAGTGGAAAAAGTTTTCATGTGACACATTTCATCCTTTAAGACTTCATCAGACTAAAATTTGTGAAATTACACATGCGCATAAATGAGGGATAGTGGGAATTTTAAATTTAAAATTTAAAATTTATTTTTAGAGTATTTTTTTTTCTGTTTTTTTTTTCATTTAGATTCTTTTTCTTTTTGTCACTTTTATTATTAGATATCCCACACGGTGATAATAGAAGTTCTGCCAGGAATGGTGAAATGTCGTAAGAGCCAGAGCAAAGATTTACTGTGGATGACATTGCAATCAAGGCACTCTCTAAACGTTTTCATCATAGTGAATTGTTTTCTCCTTTGAACAGAGTAGCATTTTTCATGTTTAAATTTTTATATCTAAATGAAATCTCTTAAATTTTAAAAATTCCCAGCATTCCTCATTCATGTACATGTGTAGTCATACCAACATAGCCAATTTTGTCTGAAGTCCTAAAGGACGAAATGCATCATATAAAAACTTTGTCATATATATATATATATATATATATATATATGCTTATAGCCATATCATGCTGAAACTCTGGTTCTTGTATAATCACCAAAGTTAAGTACCTAGATGGGTGACTGTTTGGGAATAGCTGTTGCTTTAAGCTTGAATGTGCAGATGGTGTAATGGATAATGGCTCAGAATTGGAATTGGAGAGCTGATTTCCAATTTCAGTTCAGTTTATTATATTCACTTATGTGCAAATGCTCTTGGAAAAGGTATGAATCCACCTATTCCCTCCCCAACTATGGGTTAATTAGTAGGACTTGTATCAGTAAATCATTATTATCTCTAAAAACATTCTTACAATCTAAAAATATTTTCTTGTTTTAAATAACCTGCAAAAGTTTGATAGGCTGTAAAAAAACAAATCAATCTATCTATCTATCTATCTATCTATCTATCTATCTATCTATCTATCTATCTATCTCTCTCTCTATATATATATATATATATACATGATAAAATATAGTTTCAAGGCATGCTATATTTATGAGTTAAAGTGCTAAATATCAGAGATAGAGCGCATGTAAATATAAAAGTGGACATTAATGTCAACACTCATGGGCAACAATCTGTAGAACTCAATGTTCAGGACAGAGTAAGAATATAATTTTTTTTGAATTTGTAGATCTGATGAATTGCATCATGATTATGATTCCAATGTAATAAATTATAACCATGGAATATTAGTATTTGAGCTTTTTATATTATATATATATATATATATATATATATATATATATTTAATATTAAAATATTAGGAATCACTTACATGATTTCAACCATTAAGGTCTTGTCAGACAGTAGACGCTAGAATTACAATGATAGCAGGTGCATAAGTGATTCCTAATTTTTTAATATTTAAAGCAATACATGTTTAATTTTTGGGATTGTGTATAGAGCACTTGTTAATACAACTGTCCCTTGGTTGAACTCAACTCTAACCAACAATCGAACATTTGAAAAAATCTTATTAAAGAAAATATATATATATATATATATATATATATATATATATATATATACATATAATGCACTCATGTACACAAAATAGATAGATGTGAATGCATATATATATATATATATATATATATATATATATATATTATGATTGGAAAATATCCTTAGAAACAAAGAAAAGAGTGCTGAACTGCTACGTAATATGCATTCTGTAAAATAATAGTGAAATGAATAAATGTATCTGTGAAGACAATATAAATAAAAGAAAAGTTGAGAATAAAAACTTTTGTGCCATCATGTTTCATTCCTTGAGGAATTTGCCTTGATAAAGCTCCTCAAGGAACAAAACACATTGACATAAACGGTTTGCTTGTGGTCTTTTCTTTTATTAAACAGAGATGTATATGTGAATGGAAAACAATATTCAAGCAAAGATCTATGGAAAAGAATAAAAACTGCTGCAAGTAATGTTAATATTAAAACAGTATAAAAGTTAATAAAATCAATGAAGTTTTGAGAATGTTAACAAGTCAATATTAACATATAATAAATACATAAATTTATTCAGAGTTAATCAAATATATATTTCTGTGGCTGATCTCTTGGAATTATTTATAAATAAGAATTTATTTAGCAGTTTGCATGATAAGACCTGTCACCCTACAAAATGAGTATTTTTTCAATAAGGATAGATGCTATAAGCTAAAAGTCATATGCTCATATAAATATATCCTGAAAATGTTACTAACTTTGGTTGGTTAATACCAATTTTAGTGTGAAAACATTGACTTTAATAATAAAATTTATCTATCTATCTATCTATCTATCTATCTATCTATCTATCTATCTATCTATTCTTACATTCCACTGTGTAAGTGTGTGTATCTGAGAAAGAACATTTAAAGAACTTGATATATTTATCAATTTTTCAGTTTTAACTACTGAAATTTACCCACTATGTTTCACCATGACAATCAATTTACTTTGTTTCTTTTCTCTCTTGTCATTAATATTTATTAGGCAGCGTGTCTGATGTCCCAAACAACTGGTTGTCCCTTGATGTCACAAAAGTAACTTTTAACCTTGTTGCTGGTCACTTGTGCTGAAATGGTCAAGAAAAATGAACTTTGCCATAAATGTAATGTATTTTTTTTTTAATCTTACCGATTCTATAATGAATTGTAAGAAAGGTTTATTGTACACAACAAGCACAATGTGAAGTACGGTACAGTTATACACACAGGTCAATCTAGTAGTGAGTGGCACTAATTGGAAGGTCGGATGTGCTTGCATTGTCTCACTCTCACTCTTTCTCAGTCTCTTGTAGACAGTTGACATTATAGGTACTTACTACCTATAGTGTAATCATTCATGGGGTGACAGGTTATTCCATTATATCAAAATCACAGAACAGTTAAAAAACAAGAAGTTTTTGAAGACATTAGCAAGACAAGAACAAAACTGGCATCAGAAATTTCACCAAAATATATTTAAAAAAAACATTAAAAGGGTAATAAACAAGAAAATAGGTTTGCCCAGCAAGAAGATATTTAAAGATGCTGGCATTGTGACTGTACATGAAGATGTATATGTTAATGATATGGAATAAGTTGCTATGGTCAAATGCAAAATAAGGAACAGAACTGTCCAACAAACAGAATTGATAAAGTTTGCAATAACAAGAAAAAGAACAGTATATGCGAGGCAAATTAACAGTAATAAAGCAAAGAAACAGTAATATGGTACGAAGTTCACAAACTAAGAATTGGGGCTGACACACAAAAGTAAATTTGGACAAGTGAATGTAGTGTTCTGACCTCAAAACAAGAGAGACTGGACTGCATCATGTCACACCGAGAACCAGCTTATTTTATTGGCTAGGATAAAATCCCAGCATGCATTTGTGTGCTTCTGCCTATAAAAAGAGAGGAGAAAGTTTTTGCAGTGAATCCATGCAATTAAAATCAAAATGACAAAAATATTTAGCAAACTTAAAAATTTTCATCCAAAACAGACTTACTACTACATACATATAATAATAATAATAGAAATTAAATCAAAGTAGATTTATAGAAAGTAATAAAAACTGGTGCAAGTAATATTAAAACTGAAACTAGAAATCTCTTCTCTTAGATATGGGTTAAATAGTAGAGCTGACTTGATTCACTTGCCTTGAGGTGGTAACCAGTTTAGAAGAAGGAAAACTCTGAATTCAAAACCAGCATGAAGAGGAATGGGCTCTGTTAGGCTACCTTACCCTGCACATAGCATTACTGCTATGTGCTATAGCTACAGTACATATGACATTTCTATAACTCTTATAAGTTATGAGACTAGTAATGTGATATGATATGGATATATATATATTAAGAGCTGACAGTTGGTTATATCTAAGCTGTTGGGAGCAGTTATTTAGGTAATAGGCATTACCCATTTGAGAATGACCATAAACAGTTTCTTGAAATAGAACACGGGCATAAATACTCGAGACAAACAAAGCACACATGACAAAAATATCTGGTGAACTTAAAAATTTTCATCCAAAACAGACTTAACTACTACTACTACTATTACTGCTACTACTACATAATAATAATAATAATAATAATAACAATAATAACAAAGACTGATCATTTCTGAATACACCAGTCTGCCTGAGTGGCTAGCTAATAACTGCTGCAGACGTTTGCTCAAGCACATTTGTGCTTCTTCAAAATTCACAGGTCTAACCTGTGATTTAAACTGCAACTATGCTAAACAGATGTTAGTCACAGTTTCTTGGAGAGAAAGCACAATCTGATGCAATCAGCAGTTGAACAAGAATAGTATGCTCAAATTCTTGGTCATGATGACTTGTAACTTCATGCTACACACACACACACACACACAAACATATGTATATATAGTCATCCCTTGATTAATGCATTTCCAATTAGTGCACTGAAATTTTTATATACCAAAATTTGATTAGTGCATATATAATACATGATTAGAGTGGTAAAACATTCTCCAGTTTAACCATAGTAATTGAAAATTGAAATTTGTATAGTTACAGATGTAAACATTAACCACATTAATCGAGGGATTCCTGTATTTATATATATACTAGCAGTAGAGCCCGGCGTTGCCCGGGGATGTAGCAGTAAGAGATTGATCAAGTATCGACCATCATAAAGACTGAAAAATAAAATTGACAAAGATTATTGTTTAAGGTTGACAGACACACATGTCTTAATTAGTTTTTTTTTTTTTTTTTTTTTTAACGAATTGGACAAACCCAAACAAAAACATTGTTTTCAATCGTTATGAGTCTACTGATTGAATAGAATTTTATTATAAACAATTGTCTTGTAAATGGAATTTTTAAAGCATCCTGAATGTAAAAATAAAGAAAAAAGTGTGCAAGACAATAAGAAACACTACCTGCCAAAAAAAAAGTGAAGTTTTGTTGAAATCGGTTGAAAAATATAGGAAATCCGATCCCATATATAAATGAACACACACACATATACACTGGGTTTTATAATAAGTATAACTCGATATGAGTTGCCCCCCTTTCATTCTGGCGACAGTGATGCCTCTTAATCATGTTTTCAAATTGATTTCGTGCAAAAACAATTGTGTTTTCCCAATTTTGGGCACTGTCAGAACCACCGCAAGGTAATTTTACGTAGTCCTGTGAACTTTTGTTGAAATCGGTTGAAAAATGTACGAAATCCGATCCAATATATAAACGAACAGACACACACACACACACACACAACCTGGGTTTTATAATAAGTATGATATGTGTGTGTGTGTGTGTGTGTGTGTGTGTGTGTGTGTGTGTGTGTGTGTGTGCAGATATGTAGAAAAATAGGAAAGAACATGTTAGGTAAATAATCTGGACTTCTTTAGTATTTTTGTTTTTATTTTTAAAAAACAGTGCTCCATACAGAAGTAGAGCTTAAATTATGTAGCGAAGGAATCATATTTTTAAAAAAATAATTATAATATATATATATATATATATACAAATAAAAGAAACAAAAAACTATTTTTAGACATATGTGTGTATGTGTAAAAACATATTTGGAAATTTTGCATTATCATTCAAATACATTTTTAGCTTATTTTGCTTACTGTAAGATATTTAGAATTGTATGTTTTACAATGATGTTACTGGCCACTTTTCCATTAATCCTCTATTCTTTTTCTATGTCCCATGTCTTTTCGTAGGCGATAATTGCTCTCCACAACTTCCTATCTTTTGTTCCTCTTAGCCAGATTTGTCTTTTTGCTATTCTTCCTAATTGCTTTTACACCAATCATTTACATAAGCTTGTTAAGTTGGTTATTCATTACCTTCCTCTGCTCCTCTTGACTTTTGTATGTCATGTGACTGCCAAATTCTCCAAGCCCTCTTTCCTCATTATGTGCTGTAGAAATTTCAACTGTCTCATTAGCAATTGGTATTTTAGTGATTAGCTACTTCAATAATTAAATGTGTAAGGTTTCTTAGGGAATAATGATGGTGGAAAGAATACATACACAAAATAACAGACCAACTGATTTGCAATGCAAAGATAACATCTATTAAAACAGAATTAGCAAAAGAAAAGTTTAAAATGAGTTTCTGCAAATTGTATACACAACAAAATTTTCATTAATATCTTATAGTGGGAACTTACTGTGTTGGTGTGTTTTAGTGAGAAGTATTCACAGCCCTTGTAGCTTCAGCACAGAAAGTTCATGTCAGTAACTCAAAAGAGAAAAAGAGTTACTTTAGGGTTTATGTGTTTTTATATTCGTGAGCTAATGCTGATATGAATTTTATTTTAGAGCTGCTGCTGATAATATTTTTAATGTCACTACATTTGAGGATGCTCAAAATGACTGTGCAAATTTTTGGAGCTTATCTTTGCAATTTTTTGATGAACATTTACATTGCTTATATGCAAGTATTTTTGCCTTCTTTTCAACAGCACTGGTTTTCTTTGAAAAGATGTTTGTAAGCATTTCTTTTTTTATATTACTATGTTCTTTATTGGCTGAACTCAAGGTGAAAATAAGAATGATGTTGATGACAATAAATTTGAACAAGTGAACTATTACACAAGAATTTTAAAAGGTAGTATCAAAGTAATGTCTGAAGTGAAATCAGTACTGACTGACTGGTCAAGTTGAATAGGGACAAAGCAGCAGGACTAGATGGGATTGTAATGGAGATGCTAGCAGCCTTAGATGATTTCAGCATTGACAAAATTACCGAAATAAGAATTGAAATATATGACAGTGATGATATACTAGAAAACTTTAGTAGATGCATTTTTGTAGTGCTGCCTAAGAAGCCAGATGCAAATGAATGTGAGCTCCATCAGATGGACAATCAGGCAAAGAGTCACATAACACATCATCCAAATTCTGATGAATAGAATATGCATCACAATTAGACAAGAAATAAGACAAAAACAGTATGGGTTTGTTAAAGACATTGAAACAAGGAATGCAATATTTATGATCAGAATGAGCAATAAAAATGCAGAAGAATGTAAAGTGTGGTCTGAAAGTCTTGTCACTCCCACATAATATAATTTTTTTTATTTCAGATGACTGACATGAGCTCCTACAGTTTGGAACAGAGGCTGCTTGCAAGTGTATAAACGCCATATCATGTGCACTCTGGCAAGAGCAAGGGAAGAGTTTCACATGAATGATACCAGAATATCCATCAATTGAAGGACACTGTTTGGAGAGCCTTTGCAACAATCAACAAAGCACAGCTTCATAAAATATCACACAGGACATGGTGCTGTATCATTTTGTGCCACAAAAATGATGGTGTTCATACAGACCTTCTTGAAGTGTGACAGTATCAATGAAAGTGAATAAACTGAATTCACTATTGAC